GAGACCAGTGTTGACTGGGACACTTGATTTAGATTTCTTGAACTGGGCCAATCACCTGAGAACTATCTAAAGCAGAACCCTGGGGGTGTGGCTGTGGAAAGGTGTGGTTTTCCTTTCCCAACTGTTGCCTGCAAGGGGCAGGGTGACTTAATCACTGATATTTCTCCACACCTGAGATTTTAACCCAGAGTAATTGATTTTCTAAGCTAGAACAGAGACTAGCCAAAAACAAGATAGAGACACGCAGGCCCACAGGCTCTTAGACCATAGCACTATATGCATCCTTGGCAAAGCTCTAGAGGGAAAGGTACAGACACCAGTCCTAGCCTTTGCCCAAAAGGGATAGTAACATACTACTCCCAGAGCCCCCAACCCAACTTCCTCTTACCTGCTCAGCTAGCCAAACAGAGTAAAGACAGCATGGGGTGGAATCAGCAGGAAAACTCTGGTAGTACAAATAACCAGAGCAGATCAACACCCCTAAGGAAGGATGTGGCAGATGCATCCAAAGAGCCCACCCATAAGCAGATGGCTGAGATGTCAGAAATTGAGTTCAGAATTTGAATAGCACATAAGATTAACAGAATGGAAGAAAGGAAAGAGCTAGAACTTCAAGAAATTATTCAAAAGATGTCTCAAAAATTCAACAATTTCAAAGATAAAATGATCAAAGATTTAGAAACATTGAGGAAAGAGTTCATAACCCTCAAAGATCTGAAAAATATGGTAGAATCTCTCCATAACAGAGTGGAACAGGCTGAAGAAAGGGTCTCTGACATTGAAGACAAAGCTTTTGAAGAAGCCCAAGAGTGCAAAGATGAAAAGAAATGGAAAGCAAAAAATGGATCTTTCTCTCAGAGAACTCTGGAGGATGCAACTATGTATCAGGGATGTTTGGCTTTCCTTTTGGTTGTATTGAGTAGTGAAAAATCTGTATGGTTTTCTTGGTTATAAATAGCTTAGGGTTATGGCTTTCTCAAGTGCCAGTTGTAGTAGCAATTGGGCAATGGGTAAGAAGTTCAATACCATCACTTCTAGGTACCTGAGGTGGCACAGGTGATAGTGATAGAAGTGGGCATGAGAGGCTTGCCCAGAAATGCAAATGGTGAAGTTATTACACAAAAACGCACTTGTTCACATGTAATAGTGCAAGCTCACAGAGCTATGTGTTGGGGAAATAATGAAAACTTGGAAAGTATCCTTAGGAATCCAAATGATCATTTGGCAAATAGAACTTCAGCACATTGCTCTGTGGCTCTTATCCCCTTCGATCACTTTCCAGCTCCATTGACTGTTGTGGTGTGTGTGTGTGTTTTTAATCTAATAATCTGTAATTTTGTCTTTAATTGTCTTAAGTTATGATCACTCATAATTTTTAAATTCTTGTATATTTCTTCTATTTTAGTCCTTCTAATGAGTTGGCAAAAGCATTATTACAAATCACATGTATACAGTTGTTCTACAGTTTTATGTGTTTTAAAGGTTTTTAAAATATAATCCTAAATTGTAACTTATCCCAACTTAGGTAGCAAAGAATTCAAAAGTTTAACTTGCTGTTTCTTGTCACATTGACTTTTAAAAGCATTTGACCTGCCGGCCCCTATGCTCAATGGGTAGGGCACCACCACATACACCAAGGCGGGTTCGAACCCAGCCCAGGCCAGCTAAAACAACAATGACAACTGCAACAACAAAAAAAAAAATAGCTGGACATTGTGGCAGCACCTGTACTGGGAGCTGAGGCAAGAAAATTGAGGCGGAGACAATTGGCCAAATTGTCTTCGTTTTTGTGAGTGGAATCCCTTAGTCTGGCTTTTGGTTATTATTATTTTTTTTAATGTCTCTATCTGTACCTGGGATCAGCCATTTCTTTAAGAATCCCTGGTTACTTTCAGGGATATGGTATTTAGAAACCAAGATCTGGGCACATCTTGTGGGCTCTGTTATTGAAATGATATCACCTAGCCTATCAGTGGTAAGAAGGAGGGAATGTATGTTTTTACACATGCACAGACATACAAACACATAAACACATTTACATCTATCTGTCATCTATCTCAATCTATCATTTATCTACTTATCTATTTGTCACTTATGTACTTATCTATCTAGAAAAGTATGAATTTACACAGACACATTTCATTCAAATTCTGCTAAACAGTGTTCATTTTAGTTTTCTCCCTTTCTGAATCAGAGACTCGCTTCTCCAACAGAGAGAACCCTGGCTTCCATCATCTTTAATATACTCATTCATTTAATCAGTTCTGTTTATGTAGCCAACTCCTCCCATCTCTTCCCACTCACCAATGCCTCCTCACCTCCCCTGGGCTCTCCACAAACTATGTAGGCTCTGGCTGCTCTTGCCAGGCACACTGTGCATGACCCCCCTCCTCTCCTGGCTTGACCTCTGCACCCAGGTCAGGATACCTCTTTATGTCAACGCCAACCCTACCCTACTTGGAGCCACCAGGACTTCCTCCCCTGCCTTAATGTGTGGCCACCACTTTGCTGCCACCCACCTAATGGCTGTGTGAATGAATTATTCATTTTTAAAAAAGGGCATGGAAGCAGCATCAGGATAGGAAAAGAACACTGTATGTGATACCAGCTGAAACTGATAAGTGCTTTTAGCCTTGTTGTACAACCAGTTGGCCAACCAACCATTTTTTATTCATTGTTCATTGTGTTTAGATATTTGGAAGTTGAAGATGGAAGAGAAGAGGTATAAGAAAACATGGCCTTGTATTCCAGAAACATAAGAGGAGATCGAATTAAGACATTAAGTCAAAATCAACAATATATATGATAGTTTTCTCCCATGAGACAAAAAGTACATACTTTAAACGGTACAATTAAACTATGAAAATATTTTCTAAGCAATGGAAAAGTCACAGTGGATTAACTCTCACTATGTTAATCATCATATTGGGATAAAGCCCCAGAGAACCAGTGGTTTTGATGATAAAAGATTCTGGTTGGTTCTCAGTCATGTAGTTCTATAGATTCTTTCTTAATGTGCATGAAACCATCAGATAGTACTTTTATAAAGATATGTGTATTGGTTTGTTCTGTATAATATTTATTACAGAACATTATAAATACATTCTATAGTGCCATTTAATGTCACTATAATAATTCTTACACTCATCCAAATTTTTTTTTTATTATTATTGGGGATTCATTGGGGGTACAAAGAACCAGGTTGCATTGATTGCATTTGTTAGATAATGACCCTTATAATTTTGTACCGCCCCCAAAAGTTGTACTATACCCCCTCACCCCTTCCCTCTTTCCCTCTCTGCTCTTCCCATCTCCCACCCCTCTTACCATAAGGACACTTGCACTAGACTATTTATTGCAGCTCAATTTACAATCGCCAAAATGTGGAAACAGCCTAAGTAGCCACCAACCCAGTAATGGCTTAACAAGTTGTGCTATATGTATACCATGGAATACTATTCAGCCACTAAAAAAGATGGAGACTTTACATCTTTTGTATTAACCTGGATGGAAGTGGAACACATTATTCCTAGTAAAGCAAGAATAGAGAAGCAAAATTCTTGCTAAAATGTTGAGAACTGTTTATTTTCTTATCAGAGCTAAAAAGGAGTCAATGGTACTAAGAGGGGGTGGGTGGGTAGAGATCATCCTATGAGAATCAGAGAAGCAGAGTCCACATATGTGGCATTGGTTTAGTCATCTTCTTGATATTACATAACATACAGTCTTCCACAGACACTGAGAGAACACAGTGAATGTGCAGAATCCCAAGTGGTTGATTCAGTGCCCTGGGTTAAGCTCTTCTTCATTTCTGAGTTTTCTTTACATGTAAATTGGGGTCTCTGGTGTTCTTTTTTTTTTTTTTTTTTTTTTTTTTTTTTGAGACAGAGCCTCAAGCTGTCCCTCTGGGTAGAGTGCCGTGGCATTACAGCTCACAGCAACCTCCAACTCCGGGGCTCAAGCGAGTCTCCTGCCTCCGCCTCCCAAGTAGCTGGGACTACAGGCGCCCGCCACAACGCCTGGCTACTTTTTGGTTGCAGCCATCGTTGTTGTTTGGCGGGTCCGGGCTGGGGATTCGAACCCGCCACCTTAGGTGTATGTGGCTGGCGCCTTAGCCGGTTGAGCTATAGGCGCCGAGCCCTCTGGTGTTCTTAGATGTAGCTTTCTAGAATAGAACAGAACCCCTTAGGGAAAGTCAGTCTGCCTATCATTCCAAATATTATTTTTATTCCAAATTAATGTGAGGGATAAAGCAACCAGGTCACAATATTTGAATTTGATATGTAGAGTCCCTCTTGTAGTTGTGTCCCACCCACACCCCAAAGGACTGCCATGTACCCTTAAATTGGGTCCATTCAGTGGGAGCACACCAATCTCCCCTCCCCTCTCCCACTTCCCTCATTTCCCCATTTCCCAACTTGAACTGAGTTTTTCTTCTCTAAGGGTGTGAATTAGATTGTGCACTGGCTTCATATTAGTACTGAGTACATTCAATGTTTGCATTTCCATTCTTGTGATACTTTACAAAGAATAATGTGTTTCAGTTCCATCCAGGGTAATACAAAACGTGTAATGTCTCCATATTTTTATGGATGAATAGTATTCCATGGTATATATATACCATAGCTTGTTAATCCATTCCTGAGTTGATGGCTTTTCGGTTGTTTCTACATCTTGGCAATTTTTAATGGAGCTGTGATAAACAATCTAGTGAAAATGTCTTTATGATAAAATGATTTTTTTTCTTTCCCAGTCCTAGTATTGGGATTGCAGGATTAAATAGAAGGTATAATTTGAGTTCTTGAGGATTCTCTATACTTCTTTCCAAAGAGTCTGTATTAGTTTGCAGTCCAGCCAACAGTGTAAAAGTGTTCCCCTCTCTCCACAACCATGGAAGCATCTGTGACTTTGGGACTTTGTGATGTGGGCTAATGTTACTGGGGTTAAGTGATATATCAGGGTTGTTTTGATTTGCATTTCTCTGATGATTAGGGCTGATAACCATTTTTATATGTGTTTGTTAGGCATTTGCCTATCTTCCTCAGAGAAGGTTCCCAACTCTTGATTCAACCTTTACAATAATGGGTTTATCCAGTTGAAGTGATCCATTTGTGAATAATTTCATGGTGATCTTCAATGATTAAACAAGCATTTTTAGAAGAAACAAATGAAGCAAATGAAACAAAGTTAGAAACAAAGCAGAAAAGATACATTAAGGACAAAAACTTATAAAAACTACTTTTAGCATCATCTATCTTGGATTCTTTATACTTATTCTATAAGCTGTGTAAAAACTGGACAATGAAAGCATTCTTCCACCCATCATTTAATACCATGATTATTGAGCACCTATTTTATGACAGGTCTGATACAAATTCCTTATGGCTAGAATATTTTTTAATTTAAATTTTATGTAAAATGGATGAGTCTTCAAAATTTATACCAAATGTTTAGGCATTATGGCAAACTATTTCAAAAATCCATATACAACTAATTTTGTATATGTTGAATTTTGCAGTGCTATCCTGAGTAGGTAGTGTACACTTCAATCGTATGGGTGGCCTTTGAATTTTTAACAACCCAGTATCCACTCTCATTAAAACCATGCACTATAATGATGAAAAGTTGCCTTTAAAGTATTATGCTTTCATTTTTTGATATCTTCTTTAGTTTTTTTCAAATGTAGTGCTAATGGGTAACTTCTCCTTTTTTCCTTTTATTAAGTCATATACACATAGATCATGAATACATTTATGCTTTTGTGATGTACAATGTGTTGGTTTTTTTTATGCAATTTGGAATGGTTACTTCAAACTAATTAATATAGCTTCCACCTCATTTACTTAATTATTGTGTTAAGACATTTATGTTCTATACTTGGTGGATTTGATTTGCACCCTTACAGTATGCTCCATAGGTGTAGTCCTACGGTTTACCCTCCTTCTGTTGAAACTTCCCCCTCCCCTCCCATCGGTAACTTCTTACATTCTACAGTGTTTTCATTAACAGTTTGGGAACAATTCTCATTGAGTCATTCTTTCCACACTGGAGGAGCCACCAACAGGGTAACCTTCTGATCTTAGCAGAGTGCAGGGCAAACAAATTGCCGTGGAGATTGAGAAGAGCCAGGCTGTAAATGCCTGGGAGCATGTTGCTCACCCCAGGCATGCCTGCAGCCTGGATTCTCTCAGAAATGAGCTCACTCTGTAAACACTTACTGGGCAGCTACACAGCTGCCCTATAGCTGAAAATAACATGGAAACTATCTTCATCTTCTTCCTCTCCACTACTAAAAGCTTATGTAAGGGAGAAGTTGCACATCAAATGCATGACTCCTAGAAATAATACTTACTGTGCCTTGGTTGATATGAATTAATGACAATTGTTTTTGAAAGTTTTCAAAAAAAAAAAAAGAAAGTTTTCAGATGAAAACTTTTTATTTCATATGGATTTACACAGTTTCCTTGCAGACAGAGAAATGTACACACACACACGTCATTTGTTAAATTTTAAAGTTAAAGTAGCTTGAAGTTTGTATTTATGAGATCCAAATAAACTATAAATCACACCCTAAACATTTACTGAATATTTATAGTGAAAAATGTCTTCTCCAAGGTACTATCCTGATTTTATGAAAGCAATAAAATGAGGTGATATAGTGAAGGGACTTGAGAAGGTGTTCTCAGATATAGAAAAAATATATAGAAGAAAACTGGATGATTAATGACAAGATATAAAGTTAGGTGGTGATAACATCTTTCTGTAACCAAAAACGGAGCAGATAATGAACTCTGGAATAAGCAGAGAATATTCTTTGGAGAGGATTGTAGTTTGAACTAGGACTTGAAAGGTGAATACAGAATGGGATGAAAGTGGAAAGAACATTCACAAAATTATTATTGGGTGGAAAAGGAGCCAACCTTGCATAAAGTAGGCAACCCAGAGGGGAATTCAAATACTCAGGATGGCCCTACTCTGTGGGAATCCTCAGATCTGGCAGTAGTGCCTCAAATCAGTGATTTTCAAATTTGGCTTCAAATAAGAAGCAACATAGAAGCATTAAAAACTACATTCTGAGCCAATTGTGTTAGACTATCTAAGATGATCCACACATAGTTATTTTTAAAAGCACCCTGGTGATTGCAGTGTAGCACCAGTGGCGGAGAACTCTCTCATGAGACAGCTTCTGTAGTTTTGGGTGAAGGGTAGCACCACTCAGATGTCACAATGAGGTAATCACAGCACTGCATGATTTTGAGAAACACTTCCCCGTCTTTCCAATTAACTTAAAACTGAATATAAAGTTTGGTCAAGTTCAAGGAGACTGGATATAATTATGTCATGCATCTGCATTGACATTGGATGAACTTTATAGTTTAACCTTATAAAAGCACGATTAAAGATCATTGATGGTTCCAAATAGATTATTTAGCCCATAAAATAAGTTACTAAAAAGATGAACAAGTATGTTCTTTTCAATCAGGCAGTCCTGGGTTATAAACAAAGTAGGTTCTGCAGGTTTTGTTCTTACATTGAATTTGTACATAAGTTAGAACACATACATTTACCTATTGCCTGCAATAACCTCTGTTTATAAGTACAAGTTATACATAAATCTGATGTTTGTAGCTAGGGGACTGCCTGTATAGACTCCATACTTAATGAAACTCCCAATAAGGCATTATTTATACAGAAAGTTTACTGACCTGTGTTTCTTCACAAGGTTTGAAGGAGAAGTTCTGCAGGACTCTGACGAGAGCAAGTTTCATGCTCATGAAAGCAAACCTCATGCCAATGCAGTTTCGGGGCCCAGATCCAAAGGGCATATACATGTGAGGATCTATGTGGTCCTTGTTCTTCCTGCCAAATCTGGACCCACAGTAGTAGATAAAAACATTAATGAGACAAACACTACAAGGCTGTTAGTTCTGCCTTAGACTTCTGGTCTCCACAACCTATAGTGAACAAAATACTCTTATGGGTTAGTTGTTGAAATCCTGCTATGGCTATTTTGCTATAAAAATTGTAAGCTACAGATCCTTTCCTTCATCCTTATCCCACAGGTGTTACCCATTTTGTTGAGATGATGTGTACTATGTTTAAAACTCACTTCTCAGTACTAAAATCATATTCAGGGTGGCGATGTGTTCACACTATAAAAGGCACATAAATAATGAGCTCATAAATGGAAAAGTAGGTCCCTGCCTCAAGTTGTTCTTGTGATCATCATACGCTTATTAGGGGAGGAGCAGGAGAAAATATCTAGGACTCTTTACATTGTTCTTTTTCCCTTTCCTTCTCTTCCACTTTCCTTTTTTCTTTCTAAATATGTTGTCCTCCTCCCCTCTCCTTCCTCTTATTCTCTCCTTCCTTCTTCCCTCTCAATCTTCCTCTCCCTTTCTCTCTCCCACACAGAATGTTATAAGTCAGGTAATTTACATGGGCATTTGATGCTCCTCTCCTATACTAGAATCACAATTAGAATCTGTTTCCCTGGTCTATAAATTCTTTGAAAGTTAGACCCATATTTGTTCAAATAGATTCCTCAATATTTGATTATGTTAAGCAAAAATGTTTCTGGGAAAGTGCAAATGACATTGTGGTGATGTGTTTTAAAATATGTCTTTATATATGTATATTTTGGGTTGAGTGCCATGGCATCAGAGCTTACAGTAACCCTGTCTTGCCTCAGCCTCCAGAGGAGCTGAGAGTATAGGGACCTGCCATAACACCCAGCCAGTTTTGTTTTATTTTTAGTAGAGATAAGGTCTCACTTTTGCTTAAGCTGGTCTTGAGCCCCTCAGTTCAGGCAATACACCTGCCTCAGCCTCCCAGAGTGCTAGGATTACAGACATGAGCCTTTATGCACAGCTATGTCCTTATATTTTGGAGAGCATTCTGAGATATATAGGTGAATACCTCAAAAACATAGGCATTTGGCGGATGGTTGTGGTGCTGTGTGGATAGGGCAACTGACAGTCACGGATCCTCTATAGACTACTTTCTATGGGATATAAATTTATATATTTCCATAATAGACTTTTAAAGAAACATTTAGATTTCTCACATCCTGGTCTGCTCCCTGACACTCAGTGAGCACTTACTCTCTGTTTGGTAACAGAATGATTCACAGGGATATATAAAGAGTGGTCTCTGATTTTCTGTTTGTGCAGCTAGAGGAGGTTGAAGTGCTGAGCTCCAGTGAAATACACAAGTGCTCTGCTCCAGGGAACAGAGGACTTGGTCAGTTCTGATTTACTGTTCCAACATGGATGTGCAGACTCCATGCCAGCCTGGGAGACATGGCCAACAAGACAGGGTCCCAAACATCAGCAGGCTTGTGGAAGGGGTCAATAGAAGTCTAGACCCCAGGCTTTCTGACTCACCAGGCAGTGCCCTAACAACTTCACTCTTAACTTTGCTCACCAATAGAATAATGAAGAAGCATTAACTATTTCCAGAGTGCCCAAGCCCAGCCCTGGCTGTGTATTCCCAGAACAGCCTGCTGGGTTGTCTGAGATGTCCAGAGAGCTGGTGACTGTGCTTTGGAAGAGCCACTGACTACTGAGAGCATACAGGAGCTGGCGCAGTTCAGCACCAGGAAGACCCATGCTCTCCTGTGTCCTCAATGAAGTGGTCTATGTATATCATGGAATACTTCAGCCACTAAAAAAGATGGAGACTTTACATCTCTTGTATTAACCTGGATGGATGTGGAACACATTATTTTTAGTAAAGCATCACAAGAATGGAGAAACAAGAATCTTATGTACTCAATTCTGATATGAGGACAATTAAGGTCCTAGTACACAAAGGGAGATGGAGGATGGGGAATGTTAAGAAAGGAAGGAGGGAGGGTCAAGGGGTATGGTACACCTTTGGGGGGTGGGACACAACTACAGGAGGGTCCTTATCTAACAAAAGCAATCAATGTAACCTGGTTCTTTGTACCCTCAATGAATCCCCAACAATTAAAAAAAAGTTCAATAAACTATGCCATTAAAAAAAAAAAATCAGGGACAAGGACCTGCCAAGTTCTCAGTCTGCACTTTTAAATTACCCTTCAGAAAACAGCAATTTATATTGAACAAAATAAAACGTGGAAACATTTCCTAAAATTGGTGGTAAATTCATGGAGCTAACAGGAACAACAAACAACTGAAAGGAATAAAAAGCCTATTCTAAAATAAAATAGGGGTGAAACAAATTATGGCATATGCAGGCCAAAAATATATAATAAAAAGTAGTTAATAGCTTATAGTTTACCTCTGTGTAAAGTAAGAAACAGTTCAAAGCCAAATAAAATTTGATAAAAATCTAGTTTTTCAAGTTATATATGCATACACAACTGTCCATCAGGACATATATCACATAATTAGTGGGCTTATCTTATGGTGTTGTCACTGTCAGTGGATGTAATTTTCCTTTTCATAGTCTATGGTTTATATAGTTTTATAATTAATGCTTTTTAAATATAATCCTTTTATAAATAAAAAAGCTTACAAGCAAATGTCTATGCAATCATATCACTGTCTAACACACACTAACAGTTGCAAAATGTGCTGGAACCAGTGTGGGTCAGAGTGGGCTCCCTGTTCCAGATACTTCATACCTTTCAGGGTGGAACTTCTCAGGCTCTGCCCAGTACTTTGGGTCTCGGTGAAGGGCATAGGTTGGTATCATCACAATGGTCCCTTTGGGAATGAACATTCCATTGATTTCAATGTCTTTCTTACAGACCCTCTCAAGTCTTCCAATAACTGGGAATAATCTGAGAGTTTCATTCACCACCATGTTAAGATACTCCATCTGTGCCAGGGCATCATAGGTGGTGGGTGTCTGGGAAGAAATAAACACATTTCAATACATGGAAATGTGTAAGTGGCAATCATCATGGTCTATTCAGCACTACTGAAGTGTTAGGGGATTAAAAGAAACATATTTGTAAAGAACCCTCACATCCTAACAAATGTCAAGTACTTGACCTACTCAATCCTCTACTGAGACATGTAGAGTTATTAGGAATGTGGGAGACCTTTGGGGCCATCCCATCCCAGGACTCAAATCGAGACTTAGAATTGACCATCAATGAATTCTACTCAGTACTATTTCAGTGTCTGGTATTGAAAGAAACACATTGGTAAAGGAACTTCACCCATAAGCATTAATAGGTATAAAATACTTGACCTACTCAATGCCCCACTGAGATGTGTATGGATAGTGCAGATGTGGGATACCTGCAAGGCATCCCCTACCCAGGGCCTGATATCTTGAGCATTACCATGTTGTGCCTTTTCTTTCTCACATGAACACATGTGACCAAAGTCTGTGACCATTATGCTTCATTACAATATGTCAAAGTCAATTTCAACTCAGAAAAACAAGACCACATTGTACACCAACAGAAGGGAAAAGAGCAAACCCTGTTCCACATAAGATTTTGTAGCTGTGAATTCTGCTTGACAAAACTTTTGATTCTGTATAAAATGTGGATAAACACACTATAACAAACTCTATAGACAACTAGCCCCTCTGTAACCCAAAAAGGATAAATAAGGTTATGAGTGGATACTCCCAGGACTAACAATTTAGTTCAAGTGAAATCTATATGGAGGATGGGAATTGCACAATCTGTCCCATCCTCTCCCACTTATTAGTTAGGGCTTGACAGTAGCTCTGAAGAAGATCCCTTTGTGTTCACCTACTGCTAGGCCAGACTTTGCAGCCTAGAGGCAATTACTCTTCACAACACAAATAATCCCAATTAGGTAGAGATCTGAAAACAACCTGAGTGACATGCCACTAGGACTCGGTTTTGAATTTGGGGGAAATAGTATAGAGCAGCAGTTCTCAACCTGTGGGTCATGACCCACAGGAACTGTATTAAAGTGCAGGCATTAGGTAGGTTGAGAACCACAGGCATAGAGGATAAGAGATTCTTCTTAATAAGAAAGTCAGACACCTTGGTTCCTACTTGGCTTCTTGTCCACTAGCTTCATGACTGAAGTATGACACAGGTGTGCGCAGAGCTGGGTCCACCTGCCCAGCACACCAGCATACCTAAGAGCAGATGCAATTGGATAAACCCCAGACCAGAGCCTATTGAGTTACCTATTCAGACATCTAAGCAAAAACTTCTTATGGTTATATGCCACTGAGGCTTTCTGTATTTTTTTTTTTTTTGCATTATTGTAGTAACTCATAATAGATGCACAAGGACCAGCACTCTTTTACAAATGGCTTATTTCTATAAGCAGCATCCATTGCCTATGTTTCTCCCTTTGTTTTTCTCTTTAGAGCCTTCCTTTGTAGGGCTGGTAAAAGAATCAAGACTTAAAATTTTGCAAAACTCCTCCTAGGAAGTGGTGAACAGGCATTCCTGCTAAGGCTTCACCACCTCCTTCCCTCTGCAGCTGTCATCCACTTACCTTATTAGGCAAAGCTGCATCAATCTCATCCTGAAGTTTCTGCTGGATATCAGGGTGAGTGGCCAATTCATACATAATGAAGGAAAGAACACTGCTAGTGGTCTCATAGCCAGCAAGAATGAAGATAATTGATTGGGCCACAAGCTCCAGATCAGACAGAACTGAAAGAACAGAAAGGATGTTTTAGGTAAAGCATGTCAATGTAGAACATCCCAGTTTAGAGGAAGAAAAACACATGTGAGCTCCCAAATCCCTAGGGATAAAATTGGAAAAGTAAATCAGAGTCATACTGGGCGTGGTCTTCACTCTGATGTCTATCCTCTAAAGATAGAATAAGGCAAAATTGTACTAACCAAATCATATCTTTAAGTTGCACATCCATTTCTTATAATGCTGTCCTCACCACCAACACATCTGGGTAATTTCCAGAGAGAGCATTTCTGTCTGATATACTTAGTGTGATTGGTATGCACCTCGGATAATCAAAACGTACTCTAGCTGTATGTAAAATATAGGGTAGCATTCTCCCTCAGGAGAAATAAAAAGTATTGTAGTTATAATAGAGCTTGAAAATCTTTGATTGTGTTATTTCAAGGTATATAAGGTTTAAGTGCAAGGACAACTGGAGGATCTTCCCTCTACACAGGGTTAAGGAAACTTAAGGGAACAATATTGAGCTACAGATAAACTCTTGTTACTCAAAGTATGGCCATGGACTAGCAGCATCAGAAGCAACTGGGAGCATATTGGAAATGTAGAATCTCAAACCCCACCCTAGACCTATAGAATCAGTATCCGAACTTCCAGGAGACATGGTGACTTGTGTGCACACCAAGCCAGAGAAGCTGGAATTATAGCTTTGAGAGACATTAGGTCTCAGTTCTTCAAAAAGGACTATCTCAAAATATACAGAAAATACAGAAATAGATAAAACACCAGAAAGGTGGTGACTGACCCTTGTTTCATGACTGGCACTAACATAGCAGAAGCCCTTATGATTATAGGCTGGCCTCCCTCTTGATTTTTCTTCTGAGAGCAGCTGAGCAGGGCCAGGCTCTAGACAGTTTGGTTGGGGCTAGATTAGGAGGTTTTAACACCTGAATCACTGAAATCAATATAGTACCCACTCCAACCATCTAACTCATTACTAAAAACAATACAAGACAAGTGTGAGAAGGGTCTACAGAGTTGCAATTTACCAGTGATGACTTCTGTGATGAATCAGTAGGAAATTCAACTACCAAATTATTGTAGGTGGTTAGCATGAAGCCTATGAAACAGAGCTGAAATTGCACTATATTCTCAAATATTTAGAGCTCTGCTGTTTAATTAGATGATCACTAACAACATGTACCTGTATAAACTTAAATTTTAGTGAATTAAAATTAAATACATTTAAAAATTCTTCTTCAAAGGCATAAGCCACATGTTCAGGGCACAACAGTCCCATGCGTCTAGTGCTTACTGTATTGAACAGGAAAATGACTATTTCCTTCATCACAGAAGGTTGTATTGGGATAGACAGATAGATGATAGATAGGTAAACGATGGCTAGAGAGATGATGAAAGCAGATGTGCACAGACACATATTAGCAGTGGTGGCGTACTGGAGCACATCTATCCCCGCTCTCTAGAACAATTGTTAAATATTGAGGACTTTTGTGAAAAGGTTATCAAAATTTTGAAGCTGGAATCTAACCAGGATTGTCATTTTGCCACCATTGTAGTAATAATAGTCAATCAAAACTACCCATAGATGGTGAAACTCGTTGGCAAAAGGTTGAAGAAAAGTAAGATTTTTACATAATCTGAAATGTTTCCTCCACTGGTTGTTTCCTCATTACAAAGGGAAAACAAATCATTAAAGTAGATTGAGCTAGTGAACACACTCTCACCAAGTATTCCTAGTTGAAAAAACCCTTAGTTGGGATAGTAGGTTTCCTGATTTGATGTCAGATGTAAATTTCCAGGCAGAAATTCTGACTCAGTGGATCTGAGAGAACCTGAGAACCAGCATTCATTCTCATGTAGATGATCTAAGAAACCAGCTGACTTCCAAGCATGACAGGCTTGTTCAGAGCTGCCCTTGTAGCTTTGCGTATGGCTATGCCTGTATGCTTTTAGAAGGTGCCTCCAGCTACCACTTATAATATGTGTCATTCTACAGTGTGGCAGAAATTTCCTTTCTCTCTTCCTGCACATTCTCAGAATGAGCTGTTCCCTCTGGGCTTCCCCTTCAGAAGTCCCCAGAAGCCCTCCTGGGTTACCTTTATGGGACTCTGTTTCTTTGGAGTTCTGGGAGTCAATCATTAGCTGAAGGAAATCTACTCGGTGCTGAAAGCAGAAAGACACATTTCAGTGACAGAAAGTGACTTGTTAAATCCAAAGTAAATCAGGAGTATAATCTTCAACTTTCCATCTGAGAATAAGGGGCCTTGAAGTCCAGAGTCTGATAGTATCATCTGAGTCCCCATTGAACAAAGCATCTGTCTAACACAGCGGTTCTCAATCTGTGGGTCATGACCCCTTTGGGGGTTGAACAACCCTTTCACAAGGGTCGCCTAAATACATCCTGCATATCAGATATTTACATTACGATTCATAACAGGAGCAAAATTATAGTTATGAAGTAGTAATGAAAATAATTTTATGGTTGGGGGTCACCACAACATGAGGAACTGTATTAAAGAGACACGGCATTAGGAAGGTTGAGAACCACTGATCTAACACATAGAAAACAAGGTGTTTCCCTGACAGAATTCCCGCTATTATGTGGAACTTCTTTTTGGTCTTTGTGCTCCCTGACCCTGACTTTCTCTGACTTTCTGACACTGTTTCTGGGCCAAGGAGTTGGCTGCTCCATCTCCTTTCAAACCTGCTTGCTCAGGACTTAAGTTTTTTTGGTTCTCAGGACTTCATTCTAAACTAGTATCCATATGGATTAATCTCCTGAATTTTCCAAGCTCCTTCACCACAGATTTGTTTGTGGTAGCATCTTCAAGTGCTCCACCCTCAGAACTCTATACAATCCTCAGTGACATCTGGGTGCCCATTCCTCCCTCCCTCACCTTCAGACATCCTTGGCCTGGTCTGTAGACCTCATTAGAATAAAGATGGATCAGACTGCTTGAAGCTCCAAGGCCCAGGGAAGACCCTGACATAGTTCTGGCCACAACCAGGCTCAAATGTAACATACACTATACCACACAGGTAGCCAGAGAAGCCCTTCACAGGAGACTGTCTAAAATAACTTGAAATTATTCCTTATAGGATAAAATGAGTAAATAATAATAGCAGTAAATTGATTGCTAAAAAGTAATATTTGTCCCTTGATAATTTATTGAAGTGAATATAAGTGTTACAGTTTTATCTCACCAACATTTATGTCATGAAGTACTAAATCTTGCACCTGGTATTAAATTTTAAATGCTGTCTGTCTGACTTATTCTCATATCTGCCTTGTCTCACCATGCCCCATCTTCTTCATTTCTACAAAATGAATTCTTCTGTTGTTATTAGTATACAGTCCCCCAAGTTATCAAAAAGTGACATTTGTCATGTAAGCACCACCACCAGATTTTACCTTTTGTTTATCTTGGCAGCGACTTTCTTTCACCTTTTGCACAGTGTTTATAAAAAATTTTGTAACATCTTCAGGAAATACAGAGATATTTAATGCTTCATAGATTGGAGTAAGGAATGGAAAGAATGCTATAAGAGACCAAAGGAAAAAAAAAACCATCATGAAAACCCAAAATTTACCTGGAGTGATTATAATTTTTTTTTCATTAGAGAAACAGCAGACTTTAGGGTTCTCACAAGGAGCCATTCCCTTATCTTGCAGGCCAATGGCTGCATAAGGGCACATCCACACATAGGGGTCACTGCTATAGTGGTGAAATCAGTGATCCCTTCTGCATTTGGGGTGACTAAAGAACAGAACGCATTCTATGACCTCTGAGCCTAATCTGTTGGACCAGAGGCTTCTAGTAGACAAGAACACAGTCCGCTTCTTTAATTAATTGTCCTTTAAATGAAATAGTAGTTGGGATAGAAATAATACAGCCTATGGCCTTCAACTACCATGGGGTGAAACTAGAAAGCAATTACAGAAAAAAATTTGGGAAACTCCCAAGCACATGGAAATTAAATAAGCACCTCTACATAACCAATGGGTCAAAGTAGAAATCAAAAGGGTAGTTAAAAATTGTTTTGAGATGTTTCTAAATGTTGAATATCAATGTCTTAACACAACAATTACGAGAATGACATGATGGCTATGTTGGCCAATTGGATGAAAGTATTTCAAATTGTATATGGAAACAACACACTGTATCTCATGATAGAATTAATGTGCACAAATATGATCTAATTTTAAAAAGGAAAAAAAATTGTTTTGAGATGAATAAAAATGAAGACATGAAATGCCCAAACTTCTGGGACATAGGAAAAGCAGTGTTTAGAGGGAAATTTACAGTTTTAAATATTTAAATTAAAAAAGAAAGCTCTCTGGTCAATAATCTAACTTTATGTCATAAAATAGTGAAAAAAAGAAGAGCAAATTAAACCTAATGCAAGCCGAAGGGAAAACTATAGGAAAAACTAAAGTGTGAGCTAATGAAATGGATACTTAAAACAATAGAGAAAAATTCATGATGCAAAAGCTGGTTCTATGAATATGTCACCAAAATTGTCAAGTCTTTAGCTAGATTTTCAAAAAAACAAAAAACAGAGATGACATAGACTAATATTCCCAAAAATGAAAGAAGAGAATTTACTACTGACATAGTAACAATTAAATAAAGATGAGATCACTAAAAGTGGGAATAAAAGATAGAGAAAAAAATTATTGAAATAATTTTTATAATATTAAATCTCCAAAATAGGAAAAATTAGAGGGACAGAAAATAGATTGGTTATTGCTTAGAGCAGTGGGATTTGGGGGGAGGTGATAGCTAAAATTCCGTGCCACTGAGCTGATGAAAATATTCTGAAGTTGACTATGTTGATGGTTATAAATATGTTTATATATATATATATATATGTTTTATACATATGGTATATACTATGCACATGTACCATTGAAATGTCTTTTTAAAAATGGTTAATTACATGGTTTTTGAATTAGATCTCAATAAAGCAACTATTTTAAAAAGGAGAGAAAAAGAAATAATAGTCTACGTACTTATTGAGAGAAAGAGTGGATCTGAGAAATCAAGCTTAATGAGGTTCTTAGCTTTTCTCACAAAAGGACTCTGTGGGCTATTGAGGAAATCGATGTTCACTCCAAATGATGTACCCATGATCACATCCATACTGTAGGCCCCAAAGATACTAAGAAAAGAAACACATGGAAAATTGAAGTTGGCACATTTGCCATTCTTTTGCTTCACACGCAGCAAGATGTGCATGTAAATCCCTATGTCTAGTCAAGACAGACTTTAGGAACTACCAGCTGGATCACTTCCCACCCCACTCATATGGTACCATTATAAGGTGCTAGTGATACAGCTGGCCCTGTACTGGGGGTTATGGGGACATGAAGGAGAGTTAGGCCAACTTCTGAGTTCAAGGAGGTCACTCACAGTGGGACATAGTCAGACAAACTACAGAAGTGTGTGTTGAGTGTGGGTGATAACAGGCAGGTAAGCACCATGCTTCAGCAAAATAAGTAACTCTTCCTTAGGACTGAAGAAAGGAGACACTGCAGAAAGTCTATGAACAGTGATATTTCCTCCCCAGAACTTTATGGAACAGCAACACCCTGTTCTGAGTTGACACGAACATCATCTCTTCCCTGCGCTCTCTGCTAAGACTCCAGAAAGCCCCATTTCCCATAACTTTTATGACCTAGGGTTGGCTTATGGTCAGAAGCATTTCTATAGAAGGTAAGAACTGAGAATGTTCCTAGGCAAAAGAATAATAGATGACAAAAGAATAGATGTTGCCAAAACTGATTGCTGGAATCCCACAGCTGAGTGACCACATGTCCCCAATCTGCCCAGGGTAGTGTCAGGGTACACCTGTTGTTTCTACTAATCAGAAACATGTCAATTGGAGGAAACAGAAGTGGGGAGATTTAATATTTAAGAGTCTGGTGGTATCCTCAGTAAAACCATGAAGGGCTTGAAATTCTCCCAAATTTACCAGTCACTCTTCTGCCCAGTTCACTGTCAGCCAACAGGTACCAAGCCACTTGTTCTTTCACCATTGTACACATTCTATGCCCAAAACTTTGGTACAATTAGGTGTTTCCTTTATGAACTATTTTGGATGTTTTTTTTCTTCCAGAATATCCAGAGAACACTTCATGAGATTTCCAGGTCTTGTGGACAGAGGAGAAGACCCTTCCCTATTTCCAGTTGCCCTGCCTTTTCATGCAAACTGCCCCTTCTTGGATGGCCCATTGTAGTTGTAATACCACACCCTGTTTCTGTCTGGTCACTGGAGTAACTCAGAAGTTGGAACATTAGCTCTGTGGCAGCCAGCTACAGGGTCTCCCGGCAGTGCAAAATCCTAAGACTGTGCTTCTACTCACTCTTTCAAGTTGATGGTCTTGCCTTTCTCTGCCTCCTGCCTCATATTTCTTACCAACACATCTCCATACTGGCTCACGATGGGGAACATCTAAGCACAAAACACAACACCACATATTAAATGTGCAAACTCAAGTCCCAGATGGACATAGCTTTCCCTCACATGGAATAAGTGACATTTTATAATGAATTTTGCAATGCCTTTTCTAGACATAAAGATAAAATATCATTTTTTGGAAGCCTAACCTTAGTGCACTACCTCCCAGAAAGGGGCTATAATCTTACTTTCTCCCTGTCCCAGATTTCTTCTTCTTTTTTTCTTTGAGACCAAGTCTTACTCTGTTGCCCCAGATAAGAGTGCTATGGCATCAGCCTAGCTCACAGCAACCTGAAACTCTTAGGGTCAGGTGATCCTCCTGCCTCAGACTTCCAAGTAGCTGAAATTCCAGGTGCCCACCAATCGCCCCATTAATTTTTATATTTTCAGTAGAGAGATGGTCTCATTCTTGCTCAGGCTGTTCTCAAACATCTTGAGCTTCAGCTATCCTAGCACTCTCAGGGTGCTAGGATTACAAGTGTGAGCTACCGTCCAGCCAGACTTATTCTTTAAATTTCTAATTAGTTCTTTTATTTTCTTACCTCCTTCAGTTTTCCACTGGTGAAGGTTGGAGACAGCAATGTTCGTATTCTTTTCCATTCCTCATCTTTAGATACAGAGATGGCACTTTTCATAAATCCCACTGGACCTAAAGGCTGCAGTTCAAATCAAAAAGATATTGTCCCATATAAGTCTTGGAGATCTTTGCAGATGTGCAAATGTGTTAAACAGACATCATATATTTAACAAATATTTAGCGACTATCTACAATATTGCAAGTCTCATGCTAGGTGTTAATTTAGAATTATCCCAAGTGCCTGTCCTACTCTGAGCACACCTGTGTGTGTGTGTGTGTGTGTGTGAGGTCATCCAGTCACCTGTGTGGTTTCCAGCCTCTGTACCTCATTCATATTTTAAATGCAAATGATCCCCCCATGTGGAACCTGTTCTTCCAGGGTAATAGAAGGGAAGAAGGCCTGCACCTGATCCAGGGCTGTGCATAGAAGGAAGAGAGTGGTGAAAGTTCACCAGGTGGGCTTGGCAGACTGTGTGTTGCCTCAGAGTGGTTCTATCTTTACTCATATCATAGTATAAACAATTTGAAAAAGGATACTTTGATTTGGTAAATTTTTAAAAAATAGTACATGTTTAGGATGGAAAGAGGATGAAGGCATTATAGGGAGATGAGAGAGAATTATGGTCTTCTGGATAAGAAAGTTGGAAAGGGCCCTGAAGCAAAACAAGAAATTCTGGGTATGACATAGTTAACCAATTATGTGTTGGTCCTACAAAATGTAAGTCCTAGGCTGTGATCAATGACCATCTGCCCTGTGAATATCCCTCCATAAAACAAAGATGAGAATCCCTTTCACAGAACAACACACATCATGGTTGCCACAAACATCACGAGACTAACAGACACCATAGCATCACTAGTAAAATAACAGTTAATATACAATGTAAAGAAAATTGGATTTATTTGACAACTGCAGTAATTCATGACTAATAAAACCAGGATGACACACTTGAAGGCCTAAGGGGAAGCAATGGGAATTCTTATAGATAAGTATAGGAGAAATTTGGATGAAAGTACTCATATTAGTAAATTGCTTTTGTGTGGGGTCTCCCCTCACTTATGAGGGGGACCTTTTTCCATTCTCTGGAAAAGTCTATGGCTATCTATGTTTTCCTTTACTCTTCTTCTTCATTTTAAATAAAAATTTTGCTTCTATTCTGTTTCATTACAGTCCCATCTGCCTCATTTTCCACTCCCCCTGTTTCTGACGTAGTTAAGAAACCTCCCTTTCACTCAGCCAAACTTGCTAGTTTTGCTGGGTGAACTGAACTGGGTCCACCGAACAGCTCAAAGGTGTTAATGTAGAATTATCCCAAGTGCCTGTCCTACTCTGAGCACACGTGTGTGTGTGAACTTTCACCATGATGAAATCATGATGGTCATTGATCACAGCCTAGGAGTTATCATCTCTAACAGTAGATGATACTGAAAAGATTACAAATCTATTTTGTAGAAATAATACAAGTACTTGAAAGTCTTCTTCTCTTATTTTTCCCCCATGGACAGAGAAAGATAATTCAATTTACTAATGAGGGAACTTCTGGAAGACCTCTGGAGAAAATAATAAAGTAGAAGGGATCACTCTACATGCTGTTAAGACTTACGAAACACCTACTACAGTCACAGTACTGTGGGACTGGAGGAGGGATAGACACAATGTCCAGTGCAACAGAACAGAGAATGAGAAATCAGTGGAACAGAATGAGAATGAGGAATGATGCACTTGAATAGGCCCAAATGATTGTGGACAAGCATGTGAAAAGCAATTCAGTGGAGGGAGGACAGTCTTTCCAAAATGGTGGTGGAACAATTGGACATCCATAGGCCACAAAGGATCACAGAATTGACTGTAAAGAATACAACTATGTAAACTTTAAAGAAACAACAGTAGAAGAGGACTGGGGAGGAATTTGCAGACTTGACACCAAAAGCACAATCCATAAAAGGAAATATTGACAAAATGACCTACAGAAAGCAAAAAAAAACCTTTGGTCTGAATAAAACCTATTAAGTGAAAAAAGCACACCACACAGAAAAACTGTAGGACAGTAAGAGGGAGCCTCATGCTGCTGGAACCCTTCTGTGCACTGATAGTGCTGCTGGTTACACACTTCTGCCAGTGTGAGAAAGTTGCATGGAGCTACACACACACACATACACCATAAAAATGAAGGCAAAGGGAGAGAGGAGCAAGATGGCAGCAGAGTAACAGCTTCTTGCAACTGGGCATGGTGAGACTGGGGAGAGAAAATTCCAGGCATCTCTGGCTGGTGGGATCTTCCCAGAAACATCCCTTTGGGGACACAGGGAGTCAGCAAGAGACTTTTGGACCCCATGAGGATGACAAAAGCAGTAGAGAACTGGCAAGTGGTTGTGTGTGTTCATTTGGTCTAATCCTGCTGGCAGCAGTAAGTACAGCAGCATTGAGATTAGCAAAGGCTTTACCTGTGAGTTGTTTTTTTGTTTGTTTGTTTGTTTTGTTTTAGACTTGGCACACAGTTGAACTACCTTGGGAGAACCAGGACAAGAGTGCAGAGGACTTTAAGCATTGTCTAGGGCCCCAAACTGAGCTGCTGAGTTGGACAGACCTAATAGCGTTCAGCTGTGGGCCACATGGAGCCATTGTAGGAGAATTGCCCCTGGCAAGCTCAGGGTCACAGAACAGGGATCCAGTGGGAGTGAGTAATCTAGTGACTGAGCAGCCTAAAGGCAGGGACTGAGACGCCTTACAGCCTTGGCACTCAGAAGCATACAGTGAGACCAGTTTTGGCACACTGGGTAAGTGGACAGCCACTTCAGGAGTGATCCCAGTGACAAGTGCTTTCCTGGGAAAGTTTCTGCTTATCCCAGGTTAGCAGTTTAAATTGCCTTTTAAGTGGGCTGATGAGAGATTTAGGCTCTCCACCCTGCAGGGTTTGAGAAATCAGCAAAGGCCTCCCGTCTCCATCTCATACAGCTCTATCAGCATTGTGATTAATATCTCATACCCCAGAAGATTACCTGTTCCCCAGGCAATATTCAGCAAGATATATACTGCTTTTTAAAAAAAACTTTAACATTTTCCCTATAGATTTTTCTTTTTTTTCTTTCTTTTCTTTTTTCATTTTCCTAGTGTAAATATAATTTTTCATTGTTGCCTTCTTTAACAATAATAACTTCATTTTTGCTAGTGTTTCTACACCTATTATTCGGGGGTTTTCCCCTAATTTTATTCCATAAAGTTTTCTGTTTGCTTGTTTTGGCTTGATTTATTGCATTTTTGTTGTTCCTATCTACTTGGCAGAGGTAGGGTACTGTGTCTGAACAGGCTAGCAAAGTGCTGCTGACCTCAAGGGAACCACCCAACCTGGCACCCCAGAGGTTAGGTTTGTTTTTTTTTAAGGTTGGGTCAAAGTACCCTACTATACACCTATATTGCGCCTGTCTTCTTTTTGTCAATATTCCTTTTTACTCACCCCCTCTCCTTTCTCTTTTTTCTTTTCTTTTCTTTTTTCCCTTCTTGCTCTTCAATCTTCTCATCCTTCTGGTCCTGTACCAAAAGGACTCATCAAAACCCTAGTTCTGAGGCACAGTAACTTAAAGAGCAAGAGGAAGTGAAAGGAAAATTAGGCCAAGGAAGTAGATAAAAGAAATCATGCATGAGGAAGAATCAGCAGAAAAATCTTGGCAGCATGAAAAATCAGTCCAGAGTAATCCCCCCAAGGTATCTTGAGGTAGCTACTGCAGAGGATTCCACCTACAAAGAAATATTAGAAATGACAGAAAGGGAATTTAGATTACAGATGGTGAAAACAATGAAGGAAATGATGGAAACAATGAAGGAAACTGCTGATAAAGTGGAAAATAACCAAAAGGGAATCCAAAATCAGAATCAAATAAGAGATGAATTATATGAAGAATATAGAAAGGATATAGCAGAGCTGAAGGAACTGAATCAGTCAATTAGGGAACTTAAAGATGCAATAGAGAGTATCAACAATAGCCAGGGGTCCTCAAACTTTTTAAACAGGGGGCCAGTTCACTGTCCATCAGACCATTGGAGGGCCAGACTGCAGGCCCTAGGGCGAGTTGGCTGCCAAGCAGGACAGGCAGAGGCAGCAAAAACACCTGGTGGGCTGGATAAATGTCCTCAGCAGGCCACATGTGGCCCATGGGCCATAGTTTGAGGATGCCTGGATTAGACCATGCAGAAGAAAGCATCTCAGAGGACTGAGATAACTCAGATAGTTAAAGAGGCAGAAAAGAAGAGAAAGAAAGCAGAATGTTCACTGACAGAATGATGGGACTTTATGAAGCATTCAAACGTATGAGTTATAGATATCCCAGAAGGGGAAGAATAATGTCCCAGGGGAATAGAAGCCATACTACCAATGTTATAAATGAAAATTTCCCAAATGTCACCAAAGATTCTGACACACTCCATTCAGAGGGATATCGGACCCCAGGTCATCTCAACTCTAACAGAGCTTCCCCAAGACACATTGTGATGAACTTGTCCAAAGTCAAGATAAAAGAAAAGAATTTGCAAGCTGCCAGGAGTAAGCACCAGTTGACTTACAGAGGCAAATCCATCAGGGTGACTATAGATTTCTCTAATGAAACTTTTCAAGCAAGAAAACAGTGGTCATCTACTTTTAATCTACTTAAACAGAACAATTTCCAGCCCAGAATTCTATATCCTGCTAAGCTAAGCTTTAAAATTGACAGAGAAATCAAATCACTTACTGATATGCCAACATTGAGGAAATGTGCCACAACAAGACCAGTTTTTCAGGAAATATATCAACCTGTTCTACACACTGACATGTGGATCACAATGGATAAACAGCACAGTAAGAACTCAGCAATTAAAGGATAGAGCCTAACTCCCACACTGATGCAAAAGATAAAACTAAGCAATGGACTCTCACAAAATAATATGAATAGAACACTACCACACTTATCAATTATCTCAATAAATGTTAATGGCTTGAATTCCCCACTGAAGAGGCATAGATTGACTGATTGGATTAAAAAACACAAGCCATCCATTTGCTGTCTGCAGGAAATACACCTAGTTTCAAAAGACAAATTAAAACTCCAAGTTAGGGGTTGAAAGACAATTTTTCAGGTAAATGGAATTCAGAAGAAAAGAGGAGTTGTGATCTTATTTTCAGATACATATAGATTTAAAGCAACTAAAGTCAAAAAAGACAAAGATGGTCACTTTATATTGGTCAAGGGAAAAATACAAGAAGACAGTTCAAAATAAATAAATAAATAAAATTTTAAAAGAAGACGACGTTTCAATTCTAAATATTTATGCACCCAACTTAAATGCTCCCAGATTCTTGAAATAGACCTTACTCAGTCTGAGCAATATGATATCCTATAGCACCATAATAACAAGGGAACTTTAACACTCCTCCTCTTACAGAGCTGGACAGATCCTCTAAATACAAATTATACAATAATATAAAGGACTTAAATGAGACCCTAGAACAACTGTGCTTGATAGACATATATAGAACCCTCCATCCCAAAGATAAAGAATATACATTCTTCTCATTGCCCCATGGAACATTCTCCAAAATTGATCATATCCTAGGACACAAAACAAACCTCAACAGAAGCAAAACAATTGAGATTTTTACCATGTATCTTTTCAGACCACAAGGCACTAAAGGTGAAACTCAACTCCAACAAAAATGTTTAGCCCCACATAAAGGCATAGAAATTAAACAACCTCTGTTAAATGACACTTGGGTGCTGGAAGAAATAAAAGAGGAAATCATTAACTTCTTTGAGCATAACAACAATGAAGACACAAGCAACCAAAACCTGTGGGATACTACAAAAGCAGTTCTTAGAGGAAAATTTATCACTTTAGATGCCTACCTACATTCAAAAAACAGAAAGAGAGCACATCAACAAACTCACAAACCATCTTTTGGAATTGGAAAAAGAAGAACAATCTAAGCCTAAACCTAGCAGAAGAAAAGAAATACCCAAAATTAAATCAGAGATTAATGAAATTGCAAACAAAAGAATCATTTAGAAAATTAATGAAACAAGGAGTTGGTTTTTTTAAAAAAATAAATAAAATAGATAAACCTTTGGCCAGGCTAACTAGAAATAAAAAAGTAAAACCTCTAGTAACCTCAATCAGAAATGATAAAGGGGAAATAACAACTGATGCCACAGAGATACAAGAGGACATCTCTGAATACTACCAGAAACTCTACGCCCAGAAATTTGATAATGTAAAGGAAATGGATTAATATTTGAATCACACCCTCTCCCTAGACTTAGCCAGGAAGAAATAGAGCTCCTGAACAGACCAATTTCAAACAATGAGATCAAAGAAACAATAAAAAATCTTCCAACAAAAAAATGCCCTGGTCTGGATGGCTTCACACCAGAATTCTATCAAACCTTCAAGGAAGAGCTTATTCCCGTACAGCAGAAATTATTCCAAAAAAATTGAGGAGGAAGGAATCTTCCCCAACACATCCTACAAAGCAAACATCACCCTGATACCAAAACCAGGAAAAGACCCAACTAAAAAGGAGAATTTCAGATCAATTTCACTAATGAATATAGATGCAAAAATTCTCAACAAAATCCTAGCTGTAAAATTATAGCTTATCATCAAAAAAGTCATACATCATGATCAAGTAGGTTTCATCCCAGGGATGGAAGGCTGGTTTAACATATGCAAGTCCATGAATGTTATCCACCATATTAACAGAAGCAAAAACAAAAACCATATGATTCTCTCAGAAGATGCAGAAAAAGCATTCTATGAAATTCAACATCCTTTTCTAATTAGAACACTGAGGAGTATAGGCATACATGGCACATTTCTTAAACCAATCAAAGCTATCTATGACAAATGTACAGCTAATATTTTACTAAATGGAGTAAAACTGAAAGCTTTTACTCTTAGGCTGGAACTAGAGAAGTGCTGGAAGTTCTAGCAAATACAATTAGGCAAGGCAAGGAAATAAAGGCCATCCAAATGGGAGCAGAGAAGGTCAAATTCTCCCTCTTTGCTGACAATATAATTGTATACTTAGAGGACTCCAAACACTCAACCACAAGACTCCTGGAAGGCATCAAAAATACAGTAATGTCTTAGGATATAAACTCAATGTCCACAAGGCAGTTGCCTTTGTATATGCCAATAATAGCCAAGATGAGAGGCTAATTAAGGACACAATTCCCTTCACCATAGCCCCAAAGAAAATGAAATACCTGGGAATATACCTAACAGAAGAGGTGAAGGACCTCTATAAAGAAAATTATGAAACCCTAAGAAAGGAAATAGCAGAGGACTTTAACAAATGGAAGAACATACCATGCTCATGGCTGGGAAGAATCAACATTGTTAAAATGTCTATACTTCCCAGAGCAATCTAACAATTCAATGCCATCCCTATTAAAATACCAACATCCTATTTTCAAGACTTGGAAAAAATGATTCTACATTTTGTATGGAACCAGAAAAAAAACCCTGTATAGCTAAGGCAGTTCTTAATAATAAAAACAACACCAGGGGCATCACCATACCAGATTTTAGGCTGTACTAGAAGGCCATAGTGGTCAAGACAGCATGGTACTCGCACAAAAGTAGAGATATAGACATTTAGAATGTAATAACCAGGAAATGAAACCAACAACTTATAACCACCTAATCTTTGATAAACCAAACAAGAACATACACTGGGGGAAAGACTCTCTATTCAATAAATGGTGCTGAGAAAACTGAATGTAAAAGACTGAAACTGGACCTGCACCTTTCTCCACTCACAAAAATTAATTCAAGATAGATAAAGGACTTAAATTTAAGGCAGGAAACAATAAAAATCCTCAAAGAAAGCATAGGAAAAACACTGGAAGATATCAGCCTGGGGAAAGACTTCATGAAGAAGACTGTCGTGGCAATTGCAACAACAAAAATAAACAAATGAGATTTAATCAAAGTTCAAAGCTTCTGTACAGCTAAGAAGACAACAACCAAAGCAAATAGACAACCTACACAATGGGAAAGGATATTTGCATATTTTGAATCAGACAAAAGCTTGATAACTAGGATCTATAGAGAACTCAAATTAATCCACATGAAAAAAGCCAACAATCTCATACATCAATGGGCAAGAGACATGAATAGCACCTTCTCTAAAGAAGATAGGCAAATGGCTAACAAACATATGAAAAAATGCTTATCATCCCTAATTATAAGACAAATGCAAATCAAAAGCACCCTATGATACCATCTAACACCAGCGAGAATGGCCCACATCACAAAATCTCAAAACTGCAGATGCTGGCATGGATGTGGAGAGAAGGGAACACTTTTACACTGCTGGTGGGATTGCAAACTAATACAACCTTTTTGGAAGGAATATGGAGAACTCTCAAAGAACTCAAGCTAGACCTTCCATTTAATCCTATATTTCCATTACTGGGCATCTACCCAGAAGGAAAAAAAATCCTTTTACCATAAGGACACTTGCACTAGACAGCAGCTCAATTTACAATCGCCAAAATGTGGAAACAGCCTAAATGCCCACCAACCCAAGATGTGGTATATGTACACCATGGAATACTATTCAGACATTTAAAAAAATGGAGACTTTACAGCCTTTGTATTAACCTGGATGGAAGTGGAACACATTATTCTTAGTAAAGCGTCATAAGAATGGAGAAGTATGAATCCTATGTACTCAATTTTGATATGAGCACAATTAATGACAATTAATTACATGGTGGGGGTATGGGAAGGGGAGAGTAGAGATAGAAAGAAGAAGTTAGGGGAGGGAGAAAGATAGAGTAGAGAGAGGGAAGGAGAGAGGGAGTGGGGTACTGGTGTGTGCCACACCTTTTGGGGGCAAGACACAATTGTAAGAGGGATTTTACCTAACAAATATAATCAATGCAACCTGGTTTCTTGTACCCTCAATGAATTCCCAACAATAAATTTTAAAAAAATAGTAATAATAATAAAAAATTTAAAGTGTTAGGTACCTTGATAAAAAAAAAATGAAGGCACATAACACTGAGGAAAGGTGAAAAGCTCTGTGGATTGTATCACTATCAATTTCCTTTAACTACAGTAGCAGGAAAACACTACATTTATAGTGATACAAGATGTTACCATTAGCAAAAACAGGAAAAAGTATCCATGGAAACTTCCTGTACATTTTTAAAACAAATTTCTATGAATCTTTCTGTAGTTCAAGATAAAAGTTTAATAAATAAATAAATTTACCCGCCGGTTTGTGAAGGCAGAATAACATTCTTTCACTAGCACTGTTTTGATCACGTCGGGGTCTGTGATAGCCAGCAGAGGCTGTCGACCATCATACAACCTGTGTCAGGAAAACAGAGCTGATTAAACCTCAACTCCTGGTTTGGAGCCACACCCAGGAATCCAGACTTTGATCCTGCCACTACATAATCCACAGTTCTAGTTGTACAGTACACAGCAGTATTAGGTCCTAGTTCAAGTTAGGGGAGGACACACAGCAAGATTCTGACCACAGAAGGAAATTGAGGCTTCATAGGATGAAGGATGACATGGCTCAACTGGGGAAGAGACATTTAAACACAAAATAGCTCTTCTAAAAGGTCATAAGTATAAATCACTGGAAACCTTTTGTTAAGAGGCAGGAAGAGGGGAACCTTCTCCTACTTGCTGGTAGTGCACAGACCCAGGGTGCACCTTCTGCTGCTCCCACCAAACCACCTGCAGGTCTGAAGGGAACAGTTTCCTTAGTTGGCTAAGGGGGCCCTACACTCATAATGTCCATCAGCTCACCAGGGAACTTAGGGATATAGGATAATCTGTATCTCTTCTTCATTGTCAGTAGGATGGTGTAGACAAAGAAACACCTATATACACTTCTCTGGAAAAGTCTAGTCTTAAACAGAAAACAAAACAAAACAAGCCTCCTCATTTATTAGAGAAAGCATAAAACAAACAAACCAAAAAAAAAAAAAATGCAGAGCATAAATGCTTTCCCAATCTGTTGATCTCTATCTCCCAGCTCTTCTTTTAAAAGCATATATTAATGTCAACTCCAAACATGTAGTACAGGAAATTGGCTTTTAATTAAAAGCAAATAGATGTGGTGTGGATAATGCCGTGCATTTGTGAATACCTATTAGAAGGGTGTGAAATAATGCATTTCATAAAATTAACAGTGACCTAAGGTAGGGAAAAAGGAGAAGAGGTGAATAGCTGGACACTGGACAGAACGTGACACTAGCAGTTCCCAGGCCATCAAAGCCTGGAAAAAAGTGGTAACCTGCAATGTTCTCAACCTAACTTAGACTGCAGACCTCAACACCTGGTGATCTATGGAATATTTGGTAGGATAAACCTCTAAAAGCTTTACAATAGAGAGTGTGAAAATTATCAGAACTAAAATACAGTCACTAATGTCATGAAAATAAATAAAACCTGACACAGAGATCCTAGGAAAGCTGTGGAGAGAGCATTTTCTTTTTTTTTTTTTTGAGACAGAGCCTCAAGCTATCCCCCTGGGTAGAGTGCCATGGCATCACGCTCACAGCAACC